TGTGAGACTTTAAAGAACTTGTATTCTATATATAGTATTTGACTCTCTTCATTCACAAAACTAAATGATGTGGGACTTCTCCAACATGTATATATTTAACCAACTCCAACAATTTCCACCTTGAATGAAAATAATACATAAGTTTTAATTGTCTTCAGTGACAATCATACTCAACCATAAAGAGTATCAACATGTATATTTTCAACTAACCCTAACAATCTCCACCTTGATTGAAAATAATACATAAACTTTCATTGTCTTCACACACAACCATACTCCACCATAAATATTATCAACATGTATATTTTCAACCAATCTCAACAATATCCACACTGATTGAAAATAATACATCAACTTTCATTGTCTTCACCAACAATCATACTCCACCATAAAAAGTATAGTCGCTTAAAGTTACATCACTCGTAAAGAATATATTTCACTTGAAGATAAACCACTTCAAGAACTTCACATTGACATCACCGACAATCATATATTTTATCATGAAGAATAAATTTCACTTGAAACTAAATCACTCCAAGAATTTCCACATTATCTTCACTGACAATCATAGTTTTAAAAAACTATCATAGTACCTAAGGAAGAGTATACTTCACTTGAAGCTAAACCACTTCAAGAATTTCACATGTTGAAAACTAGGTTGAAATATTATGGTGCAACTTCCATGTTGGCAGGAACCTCCTCAACCACCGATATAATCTTGCACCCTTGTGTAATCTTAATTGTATCAACACATCTTTTACTTGAACTTTTCACGAATAAAAAACAAATTCTTCCATCAATTTTCTTTACCGCAAACTGCACAACAAAATTTTTAACTGCAGCTCAAAAACTGAAAAAAAACCACGGGCGTTGTCAATCGACAACCAGAGAATAATACTATGTGAAAATTGTCAATCAGGCCAACACTACATCCACACCCTCCAAAACAAATATTTAACTACATCTCACGATACTATAATACAAGAGTATAAGAGAAAAAAGAAAGTCAAATACAAGTTTAAAGTGCTTTTGACTGGTGCATCTTGGAATGAAGAACTTGAATCCTATATATAGTCTTGGACTTCCTCTTCCTTCATAAAACTAAGCGATGTGGGACTTCAAAAAACTTATATACTATATATAGCCTTGGACTCTCTTTATTCACAAAACTAAACGATGTAGGACTTCTTTAACATGTATATTTTCAACAAACTCCAACAATCACCATCTTAATTGAAAATAAGGCATAAGCTTTCGTTGTCTTCATCGATAATCATATTTCACCATAAAGAGTATCAACATGTATATTTTCAACCAACCACAACAAAGTGAGACAAAGTTGCACTGATAAATTAAAAAATAAAAGAGATAGAAGAGTACAGGGGGGCAACACAAAACCCTCCAAGAGGAAATAAATCGAAAGTTGGAAAGACACGACTTATTATAATTATACAAAGCTACAATTACAAAAGGGATTGTGAAATTTTCTGGCACTATACCCCATGTTGAAACTTATGTCCTCACATCAGAACTTGATGTCAAGACAGATGTACGACATCTTTTGTCTGACAGAAAAGTAAAATAAACCAGACTAAAAAATAAACTGCAGAAACATAAATAACACAACCAATTGGTAACCCAGTTCGGTGCAACATCGCCTACATCTAGGGGCATCCAAGTCAGGAATGAAATCTACTATGATAGTATTAGTTCAAAGCTAAACTCCCCCGTTTACAACTTCTCGCCTAATCCCTACCTTGTGCTACTTCTACCTAGAAATCGCCATCTATATATGAGATCCCCCTCTCACTTCCTAACAACCAGTAATAGTCCCAATGACTTATGCCTCAAGAAACCAAAAAAACAGAAGAACACTTTTCCAACTATAATAATAGGTTTTGCTTAAAAGCTTCAACCAAGAACAATACTCAACTCCTTACTTAGAAGCTTTAGTGTGAGAACAACAAAGAATAAACAATTTTCCTACCACAATGTATCAAAATATACAAAAGGTGACTTACAAAGTCACACACAAGAGACTCTTAAAACTTAAGTTTCTAAAACTTCCCCTGGTTTAACAAAAGTGAAAGTCGTAAATACATTAAGTCTAAGCATTTCTTTAAATACTCCTTAGCATTCCATGGGTTTCGAAATCTTCACCCAAATATTCCTTAGTCCATACACTAAAGGTTGCACCAATTGTGCAAAAAAAGTCCCCTTAAATCTTGGAACAAAACACAAAGTTTTCTAAATTGTCTCATCATCCAACTTTGTCAACTTGTGTACAGCTGAAGATACAAAAATTTGTTCCAGATAAAATCTTCTTGACCTGTGAAAATTACTGAGATATATCCAAAAGGAACATCACAGAATCAAATCAAATCTGTCAAGATTTAAAAACAGCCAGAGTTGATGTTTTGGTACAGCATGTTACAACATCTGTCAGAACATCTGCTCATAAAGTGAACTGAACAGCATGTCAGAACATCACACACAACATCCTGATGTGAACCATGTTTTAGCAAAATTGTTGTCAATCCTAAAATCATGGATCTAACAAATTGTATCAAACCAAGTGAATTATGCAGAAACGAGGTTTAAAGAAAGTTAGTTTGTTGCTAAGATATTATCTTTTTAAATATGAAAAATAATAAAATTCAAATTCTTAATCAAGAGAATACAATTCAACCACCTATTTCTTAAACGCCAAGAAACTAGAAAAGATGAAACATAGGCCAAACTTACCTTTTTAAAATTCATTTTGAGCATCAATGAGTATGTCTTGGATTGTCAAGGGTACTCTTAAGCTTAGGGATGTTATGAACAACATGGATGATTGGGATACTGTGACAGCGAAGTTTGCAACGAAAAAGTTTATCAGCATATCATTAGTGTTGGTTTTGTCATGAGTCGGAACGGTTTGCTCCATAGGAGTATTGCTCGTCTCAAGGCTCTTTTCACGCTCTGCCTAGCCTGCCACAGAAGATTGGCAACTAAGGATCGCCTCAAGCGGTTTGGCATAATTAAAAATGATAACTGTGTGTTTTGTAATCAGGTTGAAACAATTGACCATTTGTTTTTCTGCTACCCCAGTCTGAAGATCTCTTGGCAGAAGGAGTGATCTTGGCTACAAATCAGTCATGAAGTCAAAGCTTGGGATAAGGAGCTGCTATGGCTTAATGATGTTGGTAGAGGCAAAGGTTGGAGAGCTCTTATAATTCGTAGTGTTGCGACTGAAGTCATATACGAGCTTTGGAGATATAGAAATAGTTTTATTTTTGGTGATAATGTAAATAGCATAGATATCGCGGGTATAGTTATCGATACTCTTACTTATAGGAAATGGTATTATCCTAGTATTATGAGACACTTAACTAACTTTATGTTGATTTCGGTTGGTTCTTTGTCTTGCTAGTTTTTGTTGAATTGGACTTTTGTCATCTTTTTTTTTTTTTTTGTGTGTGTTTTTGGCCTAATAAAAAAAAATTTCCAAAAAAAGAAATCAAATCGTTTCGAGCCACAAATACCACCAATTATGGACATGAGGTGCCTCACTCACATGGATGACCCCCAAAAGCTCTGCATGAAAAGCAATATCAATATTTAAGTTGGCATATTGAAGCCGCCAAGAAAAATTGTACCATAGTCCCTAAAATCAGTTGTACAAAAAGCTTGACCAAGGCAGTAAAGTGTATCATCATCTCCATTACATTTTATCCAATAGGCAAGAAAAGCCCCCGTATGATTTTCTTAACAGCAGAGGGTTTGGGAAGGAAGGGTGAATGCCAACTTTAAAAGCTTTAAGGATGATGAGATTTTTTATGGCCGTGCAAGAGAGAAGGTTGGTAGAATTGTCTGAAATTTCAGTATTGGCCAAAATCCAAGATTTAGAAAGATTGCATATTTAGGGTTAACATCCAATGAATAAAATTCAAGCTTTGTAAATTAAATTCAATGTTTTTGTGTTATATAAAATTTTAAATTTATGAAATTCAAACACTTAAATGTTAAAAAATTATTTACAGTCAGACTTTTAATAAAAATGTCAATAAAACCAATCTCTAAAAATGAAAATTTTGAAAACGTAAATCAAATGAAACTACAAGCAAATTTATATGATTTTTTGCCATCAAGCAAGTTGAATGTAATAATGAAAAAGAATAGTTTTTCCAGACATATTGTGTTCCAAATCTCGACCATAGTTACTTTAGGTTTTTTATTGAACATGAGATGAGACTAATAAATTGTAAAAGAAGAAATTAGAAATGTAATTTTAAAAATTTGGTTAGAAAAAATACGAAGTAGAAGAATTTAACTCATATAAGAGATGTAGTCCGTAAACTTTTGAGTTTGAAAGGAGAAATTGAGAATGAGCGCATCAATATTTTGAAGTGGTGTATTTGTATTTATATGAATTACCTTATTAGTTATGCAACATATGAATTACCTTTTTTCAATAACTTTACCCAACTTTTTTAATTGGGTAGTGTAGTCCTCACCTAGAACTATATTCTATGTTAAGTAAGAAAACCATAACATTTCAAGAGATAAAAAATATAGCAGTAGGAAGAAAAAAACAATTAAAACAAAAAATAGGAAAAATAGAAAGTACTAGAACTCCTAAAAAAAGTACTACTAGTATATCTTATGTCTTGGTTTGTGACAGCGGAGATGGACAAAACATAAGTAAAACGCTTATACCGAAAGACATAATAATGATCTAAAAATTACGTGTCAAGGTAAGAAATGAAAGAGAGCAAAAGAAGACAAAAATAATGATAATAAGGATATCCAAATAGCATAAGACTCCTAAAACATCGACCACAAATTCAGATTTTGTGCCCAAAATATCCACAATGCTCAGATGCACACTTCTCACAAACTTACCAAAGAACTCACTTGGCAACAGGGCTAAGTAGTCTGATCCCAAGTACTTCCACTCAATTAACTATTTACCCTTAAATATTTGATTTCTCTGTTGAAACTGAGAGCTTCAAAGCATGACGGCTTTTACACCAACTGCTCTACAATATTCATCCACATCATATTTACAATCCAGGGTACCTTCTTTAGAAGGTACTCGTGATCATAATTCATGGTGTGCAAGACTGAGATCATACAAACCCACTTATCAAAGATTTCACCAACAGAAATTTGCAAGAGGACTAACAATTCAGAATGCAGCCACAAAACCAGCGAAATCACCAGGTACCTGTTCTGAGTTATACTCTTACTGGATTAAATTGTCCTAGAACTTTGAAGATGTGATAGAACCTTAATTTCACTTTTTTTGGAGGTAATAGCTGAAGAAGAGTGGAAGGTTAAGCGAGAATTATTGCTGCAGAAAAGGGTAAGGCTCCACCTCCGTGTCACACATGTATTACTGAATGTACAAATAAGCACACTTGCATCTTTAGCATTTATATATTAACGTGAGCACAATGAAATTTCAAGATAATACAATAGCTTGAAATTACATTTCAAACTAAGAATAATTGCACAAGTCACTAATAAAAAACAAGAAGATGCAAGAAAACGGGAAAGACAAAGTGCCAGAGAGATTATAGAGTAATGGAAACAAGAACAAAGAAACAGAGGGGAAAGGAACTATGTAGTCAAACAAGTTTGACAGTACAACTAAGAATAACATACACATCAAGTCTTTGGGTAAAATCTAAGGAAATGTGATTTCATGCAAGTCTTTATATCACATGCAAGTTTATATTTGATATAAAATGCAGGTAAAAAGTGTGGAACCAAAGGAAGCTCTGCGCCTTCAGAAAGAAAATAATTTTGTGATTCTTGATGTAAGGCCAGAAGCAGAGTTCAAGGAGGTTAGTGAACATGTTTTAGAAGCCTTTTTTTTCAACTCCAATGTGCCTGTTCAATCACGTTGCATTTTTTCTGTGCACCTCTTGTGCTTTCTACTTTTGATCAATGGATAGTGAATGATATATGGGATGCTAAGAAGAAAAAACTGATGGAATTGGCTATGATCACTGCAGGCTCATCCCGCAGATGCAGTTAATGTGCAAATATACAGGCTTATAAAAGAATGGACAGCCTGGGACATTGCCAGACGTGCTGCATTTGCATTTTTTGGAATTTTCTCTGGAACAGAAGAAAACCCTGAGTTTATCAAGTGTAAGATAAATTTGACTCACCGTCCATTTCTTGAATTCATGCATTTCTTGTTTTCTGAAACTAAATATTTGATTCATGCTGGCAGCTGTTGAAGAAAAATTAGATAAAAATGCAAAGATAATAGTAGCTTGCTCAGCAGGGGGAACAATGAAACCAACACAAAATCTGCCAGAAGGTCAACAATCTAGGTATTAAATTATCTCTCCCCCTTTCCTGCCGCTTTCTTCTCTCTGGTTTTTAATTTTGCTCATACATGCTGTAAGAATAATATACAGTCCAAAACAGGTTGGCAACAGTTTATGAAATCGGTCTGTTTTCACTTTTCAAGCAAACAAAGTTACTCATGAATGTGTTGCACTTTGCATCCAACATCAGATTCATTCATAAATTTAAGAGAACTGGACAAATGACATTCATAATATTGTAAACCATCCTACCAAGTTATTAGTTATTTAAAGTAATAACAAGACAAATTAGTTATTCATCAGCTAAAATACACAATGGAAGGTGTCAGTAATAACTTGGATTGCATGGATGTAGTATCAAAGAAAGTGAAAAAGCTGAAAGCTGCATGTTGCATATACATATATTCAAGTGATTGATCCGATGTGCTAAAGATCACATTTTTGTACTTTCACAGGTCTCTAATAGCAGCCTACTTGTTGGTCCTAAATGGTTACGCCAATGTCTTCCATCTAGAAGGAGGGCTTTACAGGTGGTTTAAAGAGGATCTGCCAACTGTTTCAGAGGAGTGAATTCATTGCTAACATTGTGCATGCAGAGAATCCTGGACCTAGTTTTGACCATATTGAGGATGCTGATAAATGCATACAAAGAACAGAACAGATGAATTGAAATGTAATCATTGAACTGGTGTAGAAATTTAGCATGAGAAAAAATGTCATGTTGCATTTTTTAGAGATTGCCTCCATAGCATTAGCATGAGAGGGTTTATTTATCAGCATCGTATTATCACTTATCAGCAGTTTGCAATTCACTGATTCGCGTGAAACATGCTTTCAAACCACTAAGTCATACCGATTGAACTAAAGCAGAAGTTTAGTGATCAAGCATTTATGGTTCCATTAGCATCAAATCCTTATGTCCAAAATCCAATTCAAAAGAAGAAAAACCATGCAGAGGAGAAAGGTATTTGTTTAACCTACAATTTCCTAAGCCTTCAGAGATGTTTTTGCCATTGCTAGAGCACCGTCATAACTTTGATTTCCTCCAATAAAACCACTCATGTGCACAAATGTACAACCTGGGATTCCAGCAACCTCAGATAGCCTGTCATTTTCCAATCCTCTCCAAAGATATGGTAGTGGTTTTCTGCTCTCAAATCTACCAGGTGAAATTGCCACTGCCTGTAGTCTCCACTTCTCACTCCTATCATCCTAAAATTAGGAATCATGTATAGCATAAATCACAGATGAAGTAATCATTTATAATTGAATAAGAAAATAAAGAAAACTTTTGAAATTTACAAGTGACCTTGGTTATGATGAACTTGAAAATAAACTAGTGTGTGGGATTTTTTGGGAGGGGATGCTGACAATGATGGATGCTTATATAAAATTTGAGATTGATTGATTAACTCAGCCAAACATATCTACCTGATAAAGAACATATTTGATGGAAGGGTTGATTTTCATTTCCTCCTCGAGCTCATGTATGTGAAATTTCCACTGTGGAACAAGGGAGAAAAAAAAATACTTAAAAGTATATCCAAAAACTTAAAACCAAATTTTACTTTCCCTAGCAAAGATGGTTATACAACAAGTATTAACAAGGTGTGTCAAATTGACTAAAGAGTTTGTGAGCTTAGCTTACAGGACAAGATCGATTTAGCTTTATAATCTCCCCACTAGAATCAACAGCTTCTCTTGATGCAAGACACTCCATAACAATAGACCGTGCCGGCAACCATGATTTTGCATAATAATTCACATTCTGTAACACACAATTGTCAAAACTAAAATAATTGTTGAGTATAAGCAGTTAAACACGGTGAACAACAGAAATCAAACAAACGTGGACATTCCAAAACAGTCTCACCTCCAAAAATTCACCACCAGCCAGAGCCATTGCCCTATGAAAAGCCTCATTTTCTGCATCTGATGACTGATCAGAATCCGTCCAGTCCAAATTCAATCGTTCTATTCTAGATCCCAAGAATGTGTTGATTACATATTTTTGAGATTCGTTCAAGTCATATTGATTCACTCCATTATCCTCAGCATCAACTGACTGAAAATAAAACAGCATTTTAACCAATGTTAAAGAGAATTTCACTAATTTTCAAATCCAAGATTTCAACGACGAACATTTGAATGCATAGTAAAAATATCTACCTCTACAAAGTTTTTGTATATAGCTGGATATAACTGGTGTACATGAGGATGATCTTCGTCAAGACGAAGCACATTTGCAATTATTTCCAACCCAAAATGCTACAGTATATAATGAATGAATAATGAATTAGGTTTTGACTAATAATGAAGAAACAAAATCAGAGACTGAATTAGAAGGGTAGAAAGACCTTATATACAAGTCCGGCGCTACTGAGCTTAGTGGCGAAGCATTCACTGAAAACCTGGTGAAAATCCTTTTGATGATGATCGTAACGGTGTCGTATGGGGTCGTAAACGCCTCCAACATCGACTACGGCATCCAATGATTCGAGAAGCTTCGGGTCCCTGGTTCTAACAATATCTGCACCGGAGAAGAGTTTAGAAAGGCGAAGCATGAAGCAAGCGAGGGCTTCGTCGCAGTGAAAGGTTCCGCTGTGAGTGCCCACGCGCTTAGCGGAGGACGTGGAGAAAGATGACGATGGAATGGTGTGAAATGTCATTAGCAGAGGTTTGTGTAAAGGAAACGACTTGTGCCACACTCTCGCAACTTTGACCATTTTTGAAATTTCCTCTACCGTGCCTTAGCACTCAGAAACGGGGAAGATACCGTGTAACGACATCGTATGGCAGTTTTTTGAGATGTGTATAATTTGGGCCGCATGGATTCGCACGTATGGTTAGGTTTGATGGATTTCATTTTTAACTAATACTATTTTCACCCTTACACGTTTAAAATATATTCAAACGTTTATATAAATTCTCCGGGTGGGTTAACTCCAATGAGATGATGGTAATTTAAAATTATTGGGGAAATAAATAAAATTTGTCTACATATTATCCTTGACATATATATTAGTAACCTATTTATTTAATTAATGTAAATATCAAAATAACATGTTTTTTAAATTAATTATTAAAGTGACCTAATTTTAAGTGAAAAAAAAATGTAATTTTTGTTTTATTTGGAGTCAGTACGTTAATTAAAAGTGTACATGTCGATTGATTTGGAGCATATACAAGGTGTAGCCAAATTAAATAGTGCTACCATTTAGATTGTCTTAAAAATGGAGTGCATGTGCCATATGAGATAGTACATTCTCCTTTTTTTATTTTTTTTTATTTTTCAGTTAACTAGGAAATTAAATGAAAAAAAATTAAAATAATCTCCTTTATATATTTTTTTTTTCAATTAGCCATATATGATGGCACCTAAGTGTTTTTTATTTTACTTATTAATTTCTTATTTTACATTAGTCATTTTAAATGGTGCAAAATTATTTATTTTTAATGGGTAGATACGTCATATGATATAACTACTACATTATTCTATTTTTCTATAAATAAATAAGATTGTATTCTCATTTTCTACTCTACAACAATTACCACCAATATCATCAACTCAATCTAAAAGTATGTCTGCATTCTTAAATCAGCGTTCATCATCATCATCATCGGATTCACCGCTTTCAACATTTCCATTTATGAAAAGAAATACCCTAGTTTTTTTTAGCAACAAAGCCTCCAATGAAGATCCTACTCTGGAACACGCAGACCTTGGAGCATTTTCATAGGGAATTAAACCGCTGACTAGAAGGAGACATTGTTGCAGGTGAAAAGATCAGAAAAATTGAGAGACAGGTTGAGGAGTCAGGCCCAAATGGAGTTACTCGTGCTTGGAGAAAAGTGGAAAATGATGTTGGTGTCCTTATGATGATGTTAACACCAAAGGATATTATGTTGATGGTTGTAATATCATAGATAAGTTGATGCATTGAGTTGTTTTATTTGGGTATGTTGTTGTTATTTTCTGATTGTTGAGAATGGTGAAGACTTCTGGTATGTTGATGTATGGTTCTCAAAAAATTGTTTTGATGATTGTAATTGTGTAGTTATGTTTTTTTAGTCGTTGTATTTGTGTGTTATGTTATTGAGTTGTTTAAGTTTATCTCAGTTGTTGTTTTTAAAATATTGTTATTGAATATAATACTATGAATGAAATGAATGTTGTTTTTGATATAAAGAGAAACTATTACATTTAATTAAATTATGTCGTTGTTAATTGTTGTTGTTAAGATATTAAGTTATGTTTGTTTAAGTTATGTCGTTGTTAATTGTAATCGCTTAGTTGTGTTATCAATGGAATAAAATTTGTTGTTGATATAAAGAGACTAGGGACATTTTGTACGAATGTGTCCGGACTAACGGCACGAACTACATAATCTGACCGTTTTATTTGTCGTATCTATCTCCGTTCGAATAAGCGTGCTATTAGGGCGACATTTTTTCTTTCTTCGCATCAGGTCATTATGCCAGACAATTTCACCTTCGTATGGAGGCCAATAATCGTCCTTTGCTACCACCTGAAAGCTAGTGTTGTAGACATTGCATAGAATAATGACTTGGTGAACAACATAAAGATAGTTGGTTGGATCCTAACGAGCCTTTGAACGTGATGTTATTATATGGGAACAAGGCATATGAAATGCCTGAAACTTTCCACAGTCACACCAACTCCTATCTAGTTCCACTCGGTAACATCCCCTAGGCTTTCCTTCATTGTGATCAATTGACTCTGCAACATTGAGTCAACCTTTATTACAGTCAAACACTGTGACCACATGTGTGTTGGCTTTGGCAGCTTTGTCCTTCATGAATTTCATTAAACTATTACTAAACAGTTGCCCAAATTGTAAGGGAGAACTCCACCTTGTACGTCTGATATCAAAAAGTGCCTCGAGCTTAAAATTTTTTGCCCTTACCAAAGCGGTTATCGGTAGTTTTCAGATGCCCTTAAATACAGAGTTCATTGATTTGACGAGGTTTGTTGTCATGTGGCCTCATTGTTGGCCATTGTCGTATGCCCTTTTCCATTTCTCTAGTTGAATATTATCAATCCATCTTAATGCATATGCATTTGTCAGTCTGATATCGTCACGGTAGTGTTTGAAAGTGGGATTTGTTAGTGCATACCATGCGTTCACAACCTTCTTCCGTAGCGATTTTTCCTTGATCTCCCGCATGAAATTTTGAGCGATGTGTCTTATGCAATACACATGGGTTAACGGAGGATCTTGCCAACCGTTATCAAGTTTCTTGTATGCACTCTCGATTGATGGGTGTCTATCAGAGATCAAACATAAGTTAGGTTGGGGAGACACATATAATCTAAGATTTTTTAGGAAAAAACTCCAACCCCAACAGTCTTCCCTTCAACTAGAGCGAAGGCGATTGGAAAAATATTTGTGTTGCCATCCTGTGCCACTGTTATGAGTAGTGTGCCTTTATATTTCTCGTACAACCATATTCCATCAATTTGAATAATAGGTTTACAGTATGCAAAGTCTTTGATACATGGTTCAAATGCCTAAAATAATTTGTGGGAAATACCATTTCCACTGACACAAATCATGTCTGGCGTATACGTCGGCAATGTCTCCAAGATGGCAACGGTCCTTGAAGATATTGTTTAAGTATCACCGAGTATTTTGGAAGTTATTTTTACGAATCCTCCCAATTTTCGAACACCGTTTCGACTGTCTTAGTCCTAGCTATCCATGCTTTCCTGTGCGAAGGAGTATAGTTGTATCTTTGAACCATATATGAGATTATGATACTCACCTTCAAAGAAGGATTGTCGCTAATGAGTGACATAATTTCATTGCATATCAACTGAGAGTTGAGTTTGCGATGATCATGCATTGGATTCGTGATTATGCAAGTGTGCTCTAGACCCGTTGACCCTATCTTCCATAAATCACCTCTCTTCAGGAAAGATACTGCCAATCAAAATGGGTGCACCTCGTTACGAAATTAGATCTTATACATAGTCGAATTCGTTCGATCGACTCTATAATCTGCTGATAATTCCATGTGATATTATTTTTTAACTCGGACACAGTCTTCTTTTATACGAAAATTGTCTCCCTCTTTTAACACTCCTTCTGTTTGCATGTATGGATTGTAAAAAATATTTGTTGATGATTCAGCTGCATCTAAGTTGAGACTTGTCATGTGTTAAGGTGGGCAATAAACATGATTGGCTGGTAATATGTCTTACTCGTGGTTGGTAGTGGAATCATTTACCCTTTCATCAACAATGACTTCAACTTCTTCTTCTTCTTCGTCAATGACATCGACTTTAGCTTGTTTGTCGTCAGATTCGTAAAATATTTGAGAAGGATCAATAAGTTGAGACACTTGTTGTTGTAACGTAATATATAGCTCAATATCATTGAAACCATAATACTCATGACTGAGAAACATATTACACACATCTTCATCGTCTTGAATCTTTAATTGGAAAATTTTGCATTGATTGTGCCCGACAAAAAACACAAGATTCTTGTAGATGATTTGGCCAACTGGACCATACTATAATTTCTTTTCTAATCTCGCTTTCAAATGTAGAATACTTGATTTTCTATCAATTGAAAATCTAGTAACTTCTGTATTTTGAAAATTGAAACCGGTTATGGTACATTCAAATATCTCACCATTGAGATGTGCACTGATCATGTATTGTGGTGTTTGAGCCATAACAAATATGTGTTGTAAACTCGTGATTGGAAGAATTGTTTGGCAATTTTTTAGTGTATTAGTGTTTGAATATGTTACTAAATGATATGATAATAAAATGTATATCACAAGTGTATTAATAGACACATTGTTTGAATATATTATTGTTTTATCATTTTTTAATAGTCTTACAATCTACCATAAAGTCTTGCATGCCTACAAGATTCTCACATGCATTAGTCATGTCTTCATTTATGCTTACAAGTTATAATAGTCTTACAAGCTACCATAGAGTCTTGCATGCCTACAAGATTCTCACGTGCTTACAATAGTAGTCTTCCAAGCCTATTATAATGTCACATGCAAAGACATTAAAGTGATAATTGAATCACATGGTGAGAATCTAATGTCACATTTCTTGCATTTTATCACAACCATTTATGTCTTGTGTAACACCCTTCTAAACCCCACGGAAAATATATGAATAATCATAGTAAGTAATCATGCATTCACAAAAGGGCGTCACGCATAACTTTCAAACATCAAAACCACATGTCATGCTTATTAACAATTCAATAAATAATTATGCTTTTCAAAGTTTCACTTTGCATGTAGCAGCGGATTCAATTATATCACAATCTTCGTAAAAGAAACATTTGAATTCACCACTTAAATCAACATCATTAGGCACTGGGGCCAACATCATAATAATTCGATAAATATAAAAACATAGTATAGAGTACATAATATATCTCTAAAATATATAACCCAAGCGATCCCAGTGTTACATGACCAGAGCATGACTCGACCCAACGACTAGATACATATACAATATATCACAAAAGAATTCTATACATCCTAGCTAACCGACCAAAAGATGAAGGCACGCTTCACAAAAGGACCTCCAGCCAACCTACTCTGCATTGCCTCATAGAGCATCATAAAATAGCAGAAGGGTGAGAAATATTATCATAATAATCAATGCATATAACTATATATATATATATATATATATATATATATATATATATATATATATATA